GGAGTCGCAAAGAGTTGGACATGACTGAGCGACTGAACTGAACTGAACCCTGAGGAAAGAAGATGCAGTGGAGCACAGCTGAGAGCCAGGATGGCAGAGGGGAGATGTCATATTTGTACCCCAGGGTGCTGCAATTACTCAGCTGCTTTCACGCAGAGTTACTTGCTGCCTCCCCCAGCTCTCCAGCACTGGGGCATGGCTAGTTTCTCGAGCCCTAGCCCACCCCCACCCCTCCCCTCCCCAGGGTGGGGCATGGTAGCTCACGGGGAGAGAAGGTGCATTTATCCTCTGTTTACCCACAACGGAGAGAATGATCATTTCCCTAATGATCATTCCCTTTATGTCAGAAGTCATTGACATAAAATGCGCTGTGGAAACTGTGAAAAGCAAGTCTTTTTATTCTTGGACAATGTAAAAATTTTGATTTTTTCCCATCAATATGGAAAATACAAAGATAATCTATGTTGTGACAGTCAGCAGAGTTTTCCACTAAATACTAATTCTACTTCTGTTAACAGATCCCCTTGGTCTCCCCAGCAGTCTAGTGGTTAGGGCTTCACCTTCCAATGCTGGGATGCGAGGTGGACCCCTGGTTGGGGACCTAAGGTCTCACATTACTAATTCTACTTCTGGGCACTTGCCAGCTGCCCTTGAGCTAGATGGGACGATGTCATTTGTCGTAGTCATTGAGATGCGAACAAAGTGACATGGCACTTCCAGATAGAAGCTTTAAGAACCAGGGTACAATGTAGCATGTTCTTTTTTTTGCCTTCACAATCAGGGAGAGTGCAGCCTCCCTCAACTTGGGGCCCTGATGACAAGAAGCACCCCTTGCTGACGAGTGATGCATATGTTCCAGGAGGGAGACGAAAACCTTTGTGACTTAAGTGCGTAGGGTGCAGGATGTGTTACTGCATCTTATCCCAGTCTCTCCTGATTCTTGTGAGTAATTCACCAACATGCCCATCATCCAGTGAAGACACCACATCCAAGCAGTCAATGGCCCTCCACCGCCAAGCGTGTGGATGACCCGGGTTAGTGTATGTGTCACATACAGGATGGCAGACCATTAGCTACTATCAAAACTTTGGTTAGGAAGACCCCAGGCAACAGGACCTTCACAGAGCAGCTATGGGAAGAAGGGGAGCAATGCACACAGTGGGAAGGATGAGGTTACCCCGATAAGGTGTTGGCACAGAAGAGTATAAGGAATGGGTCAGATTTGACAAGAAATGACAAGAGATACCTGTGTCACACACCTGACAGGCATATAATCAAGGTCATGCCCCTTCCTTGTTTAATTCATGAAAGTCACACAAAGGGGCATAGTGATCCAGGCCACAAGAATGAGGGCTTGTTTTGGTATCACTGCGTGAAAAAGGTCAAGTTTTGCCTGTCACTCCTGTAAGACTGGGCGCGGGGGGCAGGGGGGGGGGGAGTCAAATGCCACAGACCAGAAGATCAGGTTTCCAAGAAGCTCTTCAATGTCCTTGGTGGGCACACCTAGTGGACTTGTGGGTCACTCAGAAACCTGGGAATAAGTGGTCAGATGAGCAGACTGATTCTCTCTGGGTTTTTTTTTTTCCTACCAGGAGTCTGGTACTGCCAGATTCCCAGACTCCTGGGGAAACCAGGGATGAGTACCAGCCTGGAGACCCCTCTTAGAGTATCTGAGGGACCCCAGCAGCAGTCATCTCTTGACATCCAACTGACCATGTCCCCGGTCTTCCCCTCCCCACAAAGGCTAAACATGACTCAGGAGCCTTTGGGTGAAGGAATTAACAGGATGGGTCTACAGTTCCCTTTTCCTTGACTGCCATTAGGAATGGCCCACTCATCTTTGGAGAAAGCAGAGGAAGGCTAAACAGGGCTGCAGAGTCAACCCCAAGTCTCCCAGTGAGGTCTTGCATGGGCAAACACCTACCTTATTTCTCTTCCCCAATCCCTAAAGCCCATAATAGGCATCTTCAAATTAGTGGTTTTTTAATAAGACTCTAAACTATGCAGAGAAAAAATAATATGCACTCACAGCTGAATACAACCACACAGAATGAAGGAAGGAGAAGGCTGCTATTCTAGTGCCTGAAGGAAGGCAGCCCTCAGTGGGCAGAGCTCCAGGCCCGGAGGGGAAGACCTGAAGGTGATGCCTGGCTCTGCCTTTCCCAGCCTGGTGCAACCCAACAAGTCACTGAGCTTCTGAGCCTGTGACCACACCTGTGAGATGCGGATAATGACACCCGGGGCGCTGGGCTGGAGTTTTAGTTCAGGGCCTGTGGACACAGCAGCTCCCTGTCAGCACTGGAGGAGGGAAACCTGCCGGACCCCATCTGAAGGCTGAGAGCCTTTCCCAGGAACACTTAGCTAAAGAAAGGGCTGGGGGCAGAGTCATTTTCAAGGGCACTGTATTCTGTTTACCTGCAAAGGGTTAGGGGACAGAGGTGGCAGAAGGAAGTTCTCAGAGGCGGGAGAGGAAGCCACTTCCGGACACAGCTGCTTGCGCAGAGAGGGAGGCAAAGGGGAGAGATGTCTGTAGCACCAGAAACAATCTGGAGCCTCATCTCTGCCGCAGCGCCCACGCTGAAGGCCTCCAGTGACATAAGCCAGACCAGCAGCCCTGACCTGAACACGTGCCCCAGAAAACGAGGGCACAGACGGCGTGAGCCCCACGGGGGCCTGCTCCCTGTTGACAGCTGCTTCCCAGCCTGGGGTCTCGTGCTCAGGATCATGGCCAACATGCCCACTCCCATCAGCCTGAGCCATGGAACGGCTCCCCCAGCCCTGCCCACAAAGCACCGCCAGCAACATCCCCTACTTCCAGTGATGGCTTGTGGGGCTAGCTGCATAGGTGCAGGTCAGAAGTGTTACAAACAGGGTCCCAGCACTGTAGGCAAGGGCCCAGGGGATCATGGTCTTCCCTGCAAGCGTGGCACCACCCATGGCCACTTCTTGCTCCCTTTTTGGTCTAGCACCTCAGCTTTCCTAAGATCAGAGTGGAGGGCACCCCGGGCCACAGTAAAAACTAAACCGTTAAGGAAATGAACGCTTTCCATCAAAGGAAGCCACCCAAAGAAAGAGGCAACTGCCACCAAGGTTTAAGCATTTTTTATTTTTTATAAAACAAGCTACAAACGGTCTCCCTCCCTCCTCACAAAGGAAAACCACACAACTCTGCCTCTACACGTGTGTGAGAGAGAAGATGTCCCGGGGAGATTCCAACTTTCTTCACGGAGGCGCTTCCTTCAGGGCAGGGAAGGAGGCTGAGGTCTCCCGGAAAGTCCACCCAGCCAGCACACCGGGCTTTCTGGTCCAGACTGATGGGCCAGGGCTCTTGTTCCATCCTACCATGTTGGGATGGGGTCTCCAGTCACCCTGACACAACCTCTGGGACTTTTCGCCAAGACAGCAAGAACCTTCTCCAGTCAGAGGATGGGATACTGGGATGGGATAGGAGATGCACAGAGATGCAGCCAGATTTCCAAAAATAATCCACAAAGGCGCCGGCCCTGGAAAACTTCCCACCCTCCCTCTCTCCCTGCTGCTCTGGCTGCTCATGGGAAGGAGGGCTCAGAGTCACCTGTCACCCTTTGTCGGATGACTGTCGGATGACTGTCGGATGGGCATGCCTCCCGCCCCCCGGGGCAAGAGGAAGCTGGGGTATGACTCTAAGGCTGGGCAGTCCACGTTGGAGTCACAGTAAAACGCCTGTGGGAAGCTAGGCCTGGATTTCCCCATGGCTGGGCCATTCCGTCTCACTTCCAAGGGAGGCAGAAGTAACAGGCCCAAGATGAATTTGGCTCTGGAACTGGCCTCAAGCCTGGAAGCCCGTAAGAGCATTTAGGAAAACAGGAAGAACCTCGGTACTGAGTTTAAAAAAAATAGAAAAGGTTGAGTGACCAACAAGGTGATGGACACAACTCTTCCCTCAGGCTTACGCTGACCAGAAGACAGGAGGGGAGAAAGAGGACTGCAGAAGTAGCTGCCTAGTCTGACCTTAGCATTGGGCGCTGTCTCAGGAAGCCTCCTTCATGGGTGGGCAAGAGGTGAGAAGCCTTGGGTGGGCACCATCCTCACCAGGACAGGCCTTCTGTCCTTCTCCCTCCACTGCTCAGATATTAAATTTAACTACTAAATAAAAGGCCCATGGGGTGTCTTTTTCTTCTCTGCCTCTCCTCTCCTGTTTTACATGGAGTAGATGCTAAATGTGACTGGAAATGTTTCAAGATGACCCTAACGCACATCCTTTGAGGGCTGTATGTTCAGCGGGCGCCAATGGCACTGTGCACCCACTGAGTCTGGGCCACCTGGGGGTCTGGATGGCCTGACCACATGGGCGCTGGAGGATGGGGACCCCTGAGGGCTACGGGCCTCCCTCCAGGGGCCACTCCCATTGAACTGCAATGTCCACTCCCTCCCTTGAGAAGGTCAACCGCCAAGTGACTTGTGGCTCTGACAGCCACGGCAGAAGGTGGCCCCAAAGATACCCACGGAGTCTGCACTGTGATCACAATGGAATCCAGGCTGGCCAGGGATGGAGTCCTGGGTTCTAGAGAGCGGGGCTGTGTGTCCGGAACCCTCACAGCTCAGAGCGGGGAGAGGGAGGGGAATAAACAGACAGCAATGCCAACACCTGTACAAAAGAACTATACAATTTACATATATATTTATATACAGTACATAAATCTCTTTCTTCTCAGTCCCAGCAAGCCCCCCGCCCTCCAAACCCTAAAAGTTGTCAGTAGCAGATCCAAAAACTTAACAATAAAAGAGAATAAACAGTCTCTCTTCCCTTTCCTTTTCCCACTGCGGTATTAGATACTGGTGTTTAAAAATGAAACCGAAAAAGAAAACACACAGATAAGAGTTATTAAAAGTGCAAACACGATGGGCACCACTTATGTTACATGGGATGTGGCTGGGCCGTGGGCAACGTCAAAGGTTAGATGTCTGATGATCCATCCTGCCTCCCTGGTCTCTCCACCTGCCCTTTGGTTTTCCGCTCCTTAGACGAGGCGTCCTACTGAGAAGGGGAGGAATAAGCAAGAAATAACAGCTGGGTTTAAGAGAACTCTGGGCTTCCCTGGTGGCTTAGATGGTAAAGACTCTGCCGGCAATGCAGGAAACTCGAGTTCAATCCCTAAGGCTGGAAGATCCCCTGGAGAAGGAAATGGCAATCCACTCCAGTATTCTTGCCTGGAAAATCCCACAGACGGACGAACCTGGCGGGCTACAGTCCCTGCAGTCACAGAGAGTCGGACACAACTGAGCAACTAAAACACTTTTGTGAGGACTCCAAACACAGATATCCATTTCATCACTCGAGTGGGTTTTCTGTTCAGGGTTAGACGCCATCCTCCGGCAAGTCAATGGGAGAGCTGGTGGGTTTTTTCAATGGAAGGACTTGTCTCCAGCCTCAGGGGGTGATGACAATAATCCTGATGACTGCGCTTCATAAACTGGGAAGGACCAGTTAAGAAAGAGACCCAGTCCTCAGAACACTGTGCTGGGAAGTCAGCTCCCTCAGTGAGGCGTCTGGTTGGTGAAAATGCCTGTGTTCATGGGGCATTTCCCAAAATTCAGTCCCTCTGACCCAAAGCTACATTCGCCCCCAAACTCTATGTCCTCTCTACCTGACTTCTGCCCCCCACTAGGTGTGCAAGCCCCTCTCAGCCCACCAGAGGGCACCGCACGACACCAGATGACCACCGTCTGCTTCAGGCCCTGCATACCATCTACCCAGGTGGGTTTTCTGTGGCTCCTGAAGCACAGAGACCCAGCAAAGCTGCCGGCAGCCCAGGGCTGTGTTGCTCTGTGTGTGCTGCGCTATACTGTGTCGCTTCAGTCGTGTCTGACTCTTTGCAACCCTATGGACTATAACCCACCAGGCTCCTCTGCCCATGGGATTCTCCAGGCAAGAATACTGGAGGTGGTTGCCATTTCCTCCTCCAGGGGATCTTTCTAACTCAGTGATCAAACCTGGGTCTCTTACGTCTCTTGCATTGGCAGGTGAGTTCTTTACCACTGGTGCCTCTTGTGTTCCTCAACTACTTCTCTCATTTCTTTTCTGCATTCACCACAAACCAGGCACCAGCTTGTTAAATCTTCGCACCAAGTGAGGCAGACGCTATCATACCCATTTTGCAGATGAGGAAATTGAGGCTTAGAGACTTTGGGTAGCTTGCTAAAGATTACAGAGCTGGGAAGTGCCAGGGCTGCCTGCTTCCTTTGGGTCCTGTGAGCTGGTGCCTGGCAAAGCTTCAGAGGACAGCCTGGAGGCCTCCGTGAGCTGGGTGGACCTGAGGTCAGCACACCAGCCTCCCCCTGGCTGCTGTGTGCTGTGTGGACCTTAACTACCAGCATGAGAAGCGGACCAAAGGCAATGCGCCAATGGAGCTCTGTGATTCCGAACCTGCTGAGCCCAGAAGTGCTCCAGGTGGGCCTGGGGGTCAATGCAAACACTGGGTAGTCTCCAGTACTGGCCCCCAGCTTGTGCTCTGAGAAATGGGCACAGATTCTGAGTGTGCCAAAGCATAAAGTCACCACACAGGACAGTCCCTCTCCCAGCCCTTCATCATGTGACCAGGATCTAAGGCACTGTGCCTGAGGTTAGGAATTGAGGACAGGGGCATGATGGTAGGGGAGAACCGGGAGCGTGGACTGCATGCAGTGTGATCAGTGCTTCTGACAGCAGCAAGGGTCTCATGAAGACTAGTGTTATCTATCAAACCTTCACGGAGGTCCCTCAATGCCTCAACCACTTCGACAACTGCTTTGACTCGCTGTCTCCGTGTGTCGGCACAATGGCCCTGTGAGGTGGATACTATGGTTATTTCCACCTTACAGATGAAGAAACGGAAGTCTGCGATGGTTGAGTAGTTTGTACTTGGATGAAAAGAGCTGGTCTGTGGCTGAAGCAGGGTTTGACCCATGACACTGCACCATGTCTTGGGGACTAAAAGCCGTGGGGTCACAGAGAGGCATCCTCATCAGACAGGACTGCCTAGAGGAGCTGAAGGATGTCAGGGTGATTGAGATGCATGTTTAGAGATGGAAGGAGAGGGGAGGCAGCAGGAGGTAAGGTGAGAGAGTTTAAACTATATAAGGGCAAAGGGAAGCTGTTGAAGGGATTCAATCAGAGAAACGATAGCATCAGTTTTGGTAAAAAAAAAAAAAAAAGAATTCTTCTGGGGCAGTGTGGGAAATGGATTGGGGATGAGCATCACTCACCTAGGGTCACACCTCCCAGAGTCAGGGCCACGTACCTCAGCCACCTCCCCAGCTACCTTTTGGGTTTACCCTGTCAACCAAGGGTTAGAACAAGGAAAAGCCCTTATGTCTCCTTCAAGGCATTTCTCGGCACCAAACAACTTAGAATTACCCAAGTTGTTATCATCAGCCCAGACCCTTCACCTACACTATGACTCTCTAATTTTTGGGGTGCAACCAACCTGACAGGTCCAAGTCATGTCTGTTATCTTCCCCACCCGCAGGCCTGCTCTGCTCTTCCTGCCATGTTGCCCATCTCAGTGAATGGACCGCCCCCCAGTTGCCCACACCAAACTTCATCCCTCTCTGCACTCAATCACCAAGCCCTGAAGTTCTACCTAGTCGCCTCCACCCAGTACTCTGCAACCCCACTTGGTTTTCCCTAACTCAGGCCTCCATCATCTCCTGCCTGGTCGGTGCTCCAGCCTCCTACTGGGTCTCTGCCCTCACTCATCCCCCGATCCATTTCCCACACTGCATAGAAGAATCTTTTTTTTTTTAATCAAAAAGTTCTTCTGTGAAGAACTAGATGCAATCATTTTAGCTTTGTGGACCAGAGACAATATACAACAATCTTGGTTACATAGTCTTCTTTTTTGAAAATTACATCCTTTTAAAAATAGAAAGGACATTTGTTCCTTGGAAGAAAAGTTATGGCCAACCTAGACAGCATATTAAAAAGCAAAGACATTACTTTGCCAGAAAAGGTCCATCTAATCAAAGCTATGGTTTTTCTAGTAGTCATGTATGGATGTGAGAGTTGGACTATAAAGAAAGCTGAGCACTGAAGAACTGATGTTTTCGAACTGAGGTGTTGGAGAAGACTCTTGAGACTGCAAGGAGATCCAACCAGTCAATCCTCAAGGAAATCAGTCCTGATTATTCATTGGAAGGACTGATGCTGAAGCTGAAACTCCAATACTCTGGCCACCTGATGCGAAGAACTGACTCATTTGAAAAGACCCTGATGCTGGGAAAGATTGAGGGCAGGAGGAGAAGGGGACGACAGAGGATGAGATGGTTGGATGGTATCACCGACTCAATGGGCATGAATTTGAGTAAACTCTGGGAGTTGGTAATGGACAGGGAGGCCTGGCGTGCTGCAGTCCATGGGGTCACAGAGAATCAGACATGACTGAGCGACTGAACTGAACTGAACTGAAAAATAGAAAAGCCACTCTTAGCTCACAGGCTGTACAGAAACAGGCCATGGACTAGGCTGGGCCCAGGGGCTATGGTTGGCTGACCTCTGGCTAAGACATCACTTCCTTCCTGAAGATTTCCAAGCCTGATGGACTCCAAACAGAAGTAGGTGCCTTAGGTATATTCCCACAATACTCTGCACTTGCTGCACTGTATAGAGGCCATCAGGTGTCCACCAGAATCCATGCTCTCCTCCTCTTCCTGGGCCCCAAACCCTCCTCACTGTGGGCTGTGGTCTAGTGATGGAGATCCAGCCAGTGAAATAGGAGAGGTGATGTATGTCACTTTCCGGACTGGCCCATCAACCCCGCCCCATGAGCACTGCTCCAGGGTTTACGCCATCAGCCTAACTGCAGAGGGAGAAGACCCCCAGGGTGACCTTGGATGTCACAGAATGAAGTTGGCAGAGTCATTCTCAGCCTGGCTCTCAGAGTGACTGCACCTGGAGCAATCTCCACTATCCCCCTACACACACACACACACACACACACACACACATACCCACACACCCTAGGACCTGGAATCATGGTGAATTACTATATGGGCAAGAGGAACTAATTTCCACTGTGTTGAACCATTACATGTGTGGTTCTACTTGTCACTGCAGCCCGGCATATCCTAATACACCCTCATGGCACTCACCACAGTGTATGTAAATACTTTAGCATCTGTCTCTTCAGTAGACTATGGAAGGATAGGAAACGTACCCATCCATCCCTCCACTGTGTCAGGTGTCTAGCACAAAGCATGATGCGCTCCCAGTAAGTAGTCAAATAAACACACACCTGGGAATCTCGTCTATTGCAGGGTGGGGGTGTGGGGTTCCCTTGGTCCCCTCCCTCCAGGAGGGGCCAGTCCTGGAGGGCCAGGAACACAGGCAAGCACTCACCTTCTTTGCTGACGCCCAGGCAGCCCTTCAGCTCGGGCAGCGAGATGACCTTGTCCTTGTTCAGGTCACAGTAGTCGGTGAAACGCCGGGCGCACTTCTTGGGCTTGGCTTTCTTCTTCACGTAGCGCTTGAAGGGCTTCATCTCGCGCTTGTTGATGTCGCTGCTGCTGTTGCTGTCCAGCTGGCTGAAGTACCAATGCACCACGCGCTCCTCCAGGGTGTGGCTGGGGTCTGGCTCCGAGAACCTGGGCCACGGGTGGACACCCCACCCCCGAGCAGCACTCAGGATCCCGCAGGAACCACCAGCCCCACTGCAAGTCTCTCCCACATGCTCTGATGCCAAGGGTTGCCGGCAGCCAGGTAGAAATGGCTCCTCCAAGCCCAAACCCTCCCAGCCCTGCTCAGCCTGCAGCAGAATCAAGTCACCCTTTTTAACTTCAGCCTCCAGCTGGACAGTTCATTTCTGGGGGGTCCCCAACTAGGTGAACCCACCACACCCTCCACCATAGCTAGGGATGTTCTCATACAAGATGGATGCTCAGGACGTACTGATTGGATTTCATTCACCTGAGAAAACCATGGGGATCCAAACTGTCCTTCTCCTAGCCTAGTGTTGCTGATGCACAAACTGCCGTCACACACGAACTTTTCATCCAAATGAGTGTGACTATGAAGGGAGCTTGGAGCGTGTACCAACCACCCAGTGCCCAGGCTGGGTCCCAGGAGGGCTTCCAAAGCAGCAGGAGTAGCCCCTGGCTTCAAACTGTTGTCTTGGCAAGACAGGGTCAAAAAGAGTGAAACCAGACAGCAACAACCCAATGTGAAGGATGAAGTTCCCGTGGGCCATCGCTGTCGGGTACCAAGTGTGGTAGGAATTGAGAGAAGGAGGCAATTGAGATGGACACAACAGAGGTTCTATAGCTGGCAAGTCCAGACCTACTAACGGTGAGTCTCTCCACACAGAGGTCTTAAGAGAGGGCAGACCCAGGAAGCCACATGTTAACTCGAACACCTGGGGGATTCTGCTAGGAAGCAGAGTAACCTAGAGTAACCAAGAAAGCTTCCTGGGGGTCGAGATGCATGGTGGTGACTGCATCGAACACGGCCCCTGACTGTAACGTGACAAGAGCAATGCCTGCACGTGTAATATACACAAGGTCTACCCATTCATTTTACTTATTCATGCCTCATCTTTTCCCCAAAAGGATTCAGGGTGCTAGGTAATACTGAAAACTTTAAAAGCCAATGATGAGTCTGTTCTAGAGCGGGTGACCGGCCGAGAGAACAGAGCCACACAAGTCCCATGGCTCCTGCTGCCAGGGTTGGCACTGAGTGAATGTGGTCCAGACCCTTGTGTTTAAAGCCCTGGGTAACCTTCCCTCAGTTGGGGGACTGAGGCTGAGGTTGGCCCATCATCTGCAGGGAACCGGACAGACTACACCAGGGGTGCTACAGCAGGGATTCAGGGCCTGCCAGCACACTCTGAAGCTGTACCTAGCAAGAAAAATATTCAAGGCACTTGCCAATGCCTTGGGGTTCTTCTCTGGAATTTGCCAAGGTTTCCAGGAGGGAAGGGACAACCCTGACCCCTCCCCTATGAATGAGCCAGCAAACTCCCTCCCCACCCCACCCCCAAGTGACCTCACCATTTAGGGAAAAAGAAGTTTCATTACCAAAAAAAGCCAGGCGTCCCTGAATGCCCATTCCTAATTAAGTGGATTACGGTCTTGGGCAGGCCCCACTGGGCACCTTGGACCAGGTCCAAGACAGCACAGTGAGTAGATCAGCCAGCAGGACCTCATCCTGACGTGTCTGGAGCAGAGAGTACCTGGGGAAGGTGTGAGGGACCGCCTGCTTCTAGTTTTGGGGAGTCTGCTAGGTCCGTCATAGAAACCAGGCTTGGAATGGCTCACCAACAGGCAGGGCTCAGACTGTCGTCTCTGCCAGCGCTTGGTATTTTGGTGGTTTTGAGCTTCCTCTATTTTCACTGCAACATTCACTCTCGAGCCTGCGGGGCATACACCGGGAGTGCCCAGAAACATCTCTATCAGGATGCTCCTGGAGCAGGAGGGAGAGTGGCCAGCTCCCTTGCAGAGCACACTGTCGGCCTCCAATTTCCCCAAATGAAGGAGGACCCGGGCCAGGGAGGAGAGCCAGGACGGGTCCCAGGGGAGGCGCTCCAGTTATTCCCCTCCAAGCTTTCTACGGCGTCCAGGGCGGGGGTGGGGGGGGGGGTCAGGGTTTCCCCCTCAGCCCCTCCCTTGAGGGGCCACGAGCGCCCCTGGTGAAGGCAGCTCTTCCTCCAACCTTTAGGCTCAGCATAGCGTCATGTCTACCTAGAGGCTGGAATAATAAAGCCTTAGTCGCTGAGACGGGAAGGGATGAGGTCATCCCACCCAGACGCCCTGCCAGGAGAGGCTCGCTGCCTCCAGCACGTGTTCCTGGGCTCCCGCCTGCCTGCCCGGTTCTCGGCGACTCTGTGACTGGGGCTCTCTGCACCTTCCTTTGGGCTAGTCTGCAGCAAGAAGCGGCTCTTCTCCCCAGGCGACAGCCTCTAAGAGTTTCCTCTCAGGCCAGAGAGTGACTGTCACTTGGCTCCTGCTTCTTTTCCCCTCCCTTCCCTGTCTCCCTGGTCTGGAGAGCCAAGTTTCTGCCCTCCTCACTCCCAGCAGCACCTCCCAGCCCGGAGCAGCCACAACTTCGGACAGCTACACCCCTGCCTGTCCCAGCCCCGGCCCCCACTGAGGACACTTGCCCAGGAGAGGTGCTCCGAGGGCCCTCCATGCCTGCCTCTGGCTCCCAGAGCTCTGCTGAAACCCACAGGCTGCCTCTTCCCTCCCTCCTCCCCAGCTGGTGCGAGGCTCTCTGCTTCTGAACTCCTCTGACTTCCAGAATCCATGCTGCATCCTCCCCCAGATAACAGGGCCCAGCTCTACATGTATAGCTGGGCAGTGCGAGGGTCCTGCTTTGGAATCCAACCTTTTGTCTAGGCCAAGCTCCAAGTGCATTTAAGGCAAGAATTTCTTAATTTGGAGGAGATCGTGGACCCTCAGAGAACACAAACAAAGCCACAGTCCCTCTCTCTAAAATGCATGTGCACCCAGAACTCTGCAGATTTTAGGGGTTTAATGGATGCTCCAAACCTCATTCAAGTTAAGAACCCTTGTCTAGAGGGAAAGAGACTCCAGTCATGGCCCTAGAAGAATAAGTATGCACCTTCTGGGCGAAGATGGGATGAGACAAAAAACAGCAATTGGAAGGAGCCTGGGAGTAGTTTTCATGTTTCCAGCAAAGCATAAAAAAAAAGAAGAAAGAAAACTACCGAAGGCATCTAGCTCAAAGCTCCTAAAGTGAGGTCTCTGGTTTCGCAGCAGCTTTAAGTCCCCAAACTACCATACTTCATACAAGAACTAGTTAAGAGTGAGACTTATCAGGAGTCCTGATTTAGCCAAACCGGCAGTGGGCATGTGTGAAAGATGGGCACCTCCGTTAGCTGAGGAGAAGCTGGGATTTTCCCAGGGGAGCACGGGGGTGGGGCAAGATGGCCTCCTCCAGAGGCCCCAGGAATCTCTCAACAGTCTTTGCTGGAGTCCTTCCCATCACAGCTAGGCTCCCCACAATTTACCACTGACCTCAAAGCCACACCCCACTGATCCCTCTAGCTCTTGCAGCTTTCTAGCAGTATCCTTTAAAAACACAGGCTACTTGCATTCTCAGTTCCAGGGTTACACTGGCATGGACTCCGAACTCTCCCGTACACGTGCACACAGAAACCCCACTGGGGTCATCAAAGCTGCTCATCGGGCAAGGGCTAAGGACCCAACATTAGAGCCAGTAATGGTTCCTTAGATCACCTAACAGTGACACCCAGGTCCTTGCTATGGGCCTCTCTGCAGGTAAAATTCCACTTCTATTAAAAGGGCTCCTTGGGTGTGCAAAGGATCCCGGTTTTCTTGGTATGGCGTGAAGAGCCAGTAAAATGCTGGTGTCAGCCCTGCCTCTGGGCTTTTGTGGTAGCCGTCCTCGCACCTCCCGCCTCCAGGGAGAAGGAAAACCACTAGAGCCAGGCCCCTCCCTGGACTGGCCCCACCGAGTCTCTTCTCCCACACTGAGAAGCAGCAGGTGCCGCCCTTCCCCTGCAGCCCTCACTGCGTCGCTTCTGCAGCCTCAGCCCTGCCAGGCCTTGGCTGCAATGCACAGCCGGAGAGCCAGCCCCATTTACCACAAGGAAACCGGTGCTGGCCGAGATCTTGGGCCCGATTCTGCTGTCCCAAGCAGTTTTAAACAAGGTGAGGTGGGATGGCCTGGAGGCATGAGCCAAGCCAAGCAGACCAACAGAGCCCCATCTGGAATCGGGTCCAGGCCCCACCAGCTGTGCGGGCGGGTGGGGCTGGGAAATGCCAAGTCAGCCGCATTCTCAGCCTCTTCCTTGCAAGACCATCAACAAGTAACCACACTGGGTAGGAAGGAGGAAGCCGCAAGACAAAGGGCTTCTCCTTGCAGGACCACGTGAGGGGCTGGGAGGCTCATGCAGCTCAGCCTACCTTCTCTCGACGTTGGCTTTTTTTAGGAAGGCTGATCTATGGGGTGGCGGGAGGAGGGCTCTGATTCTTGCAGGAGGAAGGACCAAGAGCATAATTCAATGATCCATTAACCCTTCACTGAGAAAAGCTATCATCTAATGATACCTGTGGGCTTCCCCTGTGGCTCACGGGTAAAGAAGCCACCTGAAATGCAGGTGTGGGTTCGATCCCTGGGTTGGGAAGGTCCCCTGGAGGAGGGCATAGCAATCCACTCCAGTATTCCTGCCTAGAGGACCCCATGGACAGAGGATCCTGGAAGGCTACACAGTCCATGGGGTCACCAAGAGTCAGACACACATGCAATGATACCTGCAGGCTGCCCCCTCTCAGGCTCTAGCCACAGATGTTTCCATGGGTACCCCTTTCACTTGGCCTATTTTTTTTTCACTTGGCCTATTTTTAAATTTGGGCAGCACTGCTTTCCCCCCAAATCAAGCCAGATGCCAGAAAAGGAAGTAGACATCTCTCTTTTCCACTCCCTACATCCAACAAGTCTTCAAATCCTATTGATTTCATTACTTGAACTTCAGTAGATGATCCTACCCCCCACATCTTTAATCCACGCTCTCATCACCTTTCACTCAGATGATGCTGTAACCTTCCTGCCCCATCCAGCATCCCTCCCATCCAGCTCCCATAGGAATGCCCATCTAACCCCATGACTCCCGGCAGCCTCTCTGGCATGAATCACAAGGTCCAGCAGGGTCTGGGCTCTGCCCAACTTTACAGCCTCATCTCCTACAACCCTCCCCCCAAGGTTATAACTCCGCTCACGATTCCTTCCACAGACCCCGTGTGTGTATGTGTGTGTATATTAGTTGCTCACTTGTGTCCAAGTCTTTGCGACCCCATGGACTATAGCCCACCAGGTTCCTCTGTCCATGGGATTTTCCAGGTAAGAATACTGGAGTGGGTTGCCATTCCCTTCTGCAGGGGATCTTCCCAACCCAGGGATCAAATCTGGGTCTCCTGCATTGAAGGCAGATTCTTTACCATCTGAGCTACCAGGGAAGCCTGCAGATCCTACCTTGTTCATACCTCACTATCCCAAGGGTCCCTCTGCTGGGAATCCTTACTCCTGGTCCATCTAGGTCAGGACGTTGTCTCATTCGTAAGTGAAGATGTGGCTTAAATATGACCTCCTATGGAAAGCCTTCTCTCACGTGCCTTCCTCCCCTGAGCCCCTGCCTGCATGACTTCATCTGCCTCTGTTATCACATTCTTTACAGGGCACTCACCTGACTACATAGCTCTTCTCCCAGGAGCTCCTCCAGACCAGAAACCAAGCCTGCATCCCTGTATGTCCCCAAAACCCAGCACAGAGCTTACCCTGGGTGTGAGATATAAGAGTTTGTGCAAAGCTAAAATCTCCAAGCCTGACAGGTGGTAGTTTGGGATGAAGACACCCTCTCTTCTACTCAGCCCAAGCATCCCCCCGTCCCTTCTTCCCAACATCACTAAATAGTCTGTTTCCCACTGGCCCCAGCTGATGTCCAGCTTTAACTGCCAGACCGAGAGGATGCAGGGGGGATCAGCTGTGGCTTCCTTGACCTCGTGCTTGCAGTCCCAACTCTGCCTGAATTCAGAGCCAAGGCCCAAACCCAGGCAGCCTGGATTCCCTAATTCTCCTCACGGGTCCTGCTCCTCTGACTTTGCTCTTCTGTCCTAGAAAAGCACCTGACCAGGGGCTGTCCACTCAGCGCCCAAGTCCCGTGGGCCCAGCCAGGACACCGTAAAGGTCTGGTGGCAGTGAACTTCAGGGCTGGGTTTGGCCTCATAATGAGTCTTGAAGTAATTGCTGGACCCTCAGACCCTCAAGGAAAAGAGGCCTCACTGAGACATCCCTCTATCCACCCATCCTCCTGGCTATTTATTCATTTAACAGACGTTTACTGAGCACCTACTGTATGCCAGGCACTTTTCTGAGCTCCAGGAATACAGCAGGGAAGAAGGTGAAAAATGTTCCTTTTCTCATCGAACTTCAATTTTCATTGGGTGGGGTGAGACAGATATAAATAAGTCAGCAAAACATCAGATAGTGATAAGCACTAGGCTGAAAATTAGAAAGAGGTGTCATGATAGGTGACAGGACTGTTCCTTTCATTCGGATGGTCACTAAGAAGGTGATATTTAAATGGAACAGCGGGGCAAGTCACGGGAAGATAAGGGATTCACACTCCAGGCTGAGGTAGCAGCTGGCATGGAGGCCCTGGGGTGGTGAGAGTTTGGCCTGTTTGAGCACCTGAGAAGGACCAGCGGCAGCTGGCATGTAATGATGGGAGGTAGTGGCATACAAAAGGAGGGTGAGCGCCATCAAGACCATCCTTCAGAGCCAATTCACGGTCAGAGTTAAGGCTTGATTTTCCTAAACACTGGGTCGACATCAAAGTTCACTCAGGTTTTTCCGTAACAAATTATGGAAAAACCCGAATGAATTTTTTGGCCAACCCAATATAATAGGGAGATCTGAGAGGGATTTAAATGCAGTAAAACCAGTAACCCTGACCAACTACCCCCCTGTATAACCACTCCTCTCTCCTTCTCCCCACCAGGCCCACCCCGACTCCCTTGATCTCTAAACTACTTCTCGATTCATCTTGTCTGTCTTTTGATTACAAGTATAGCCTCCAGGTAACACAATTACCAAATGCAGTTCAAACCTTTCATTCTCATCAAAACCAAACACGGTCAAGTTCATATGAGCTTAAAATGAAAAACATGTTTAGTAAAGAATATTTAAAAAAAAAAATTTCTTCCAACTCTCATTATACCTAAAAGATTTTTTTGGAAAGAAGAAGAAAATCACTTCCCTAAGGATACACTAGGATTAAAAGCATTTATAAACTTCTTAGTTTTTATTTTCTGTAAAAATTTCCTCACCCTGCAATTTGAGGGCAGAGCGTCCATCTGAATTTGCCCTGGCAGCAGGCCTACCTGTGCTTTTGACCCCCCTGGCCCAGGACCCAGCTGAGTTCTGCTTTCCCTGTCACTGAAGCCTGCTTGGATCTGAGGCCAGGCAAGGCGCAAGGGCTGGCCTCCTGCAGAAGCAAACAGGATGGAGGGTGAAGTGCTGTTTCCTTAGGACCCACGTACAAGCAACAGGCAGGCTCCCTGAGGGGTGGGTCAGAACCAGTAGCCCAGAAGAGTTGTGAGCAGAGAGGATCCAGCTCTGGGATTTTTAGGGCCATGCCCCCTTCTTGTTCCTTTAGTCCCTCTCTTCTAAAAAAACATAAATATCTCATACTCATTTTTGCATGAAACAACAGGTATGTTTTCACATTTCAATCATGAAAAGCAAAAAGGTATACAATCCTGAATATGCCTGTTCATAATTTCCCATCCCTCTTCCTAGAGATTAGGACACAGCTTTCTGTTGTAGACCTCCAGTGGCTGAGCACTACCTCTGGGCAGTTCCCATCTGCTGACCTGTCAGACCCTGATTCCATCTTCTCAGACTCAGTGCCGTGTTCCTCCTGCTGTGGGGGAGGCCTGACCCCAATCATAGGGTGAGCAAAACAAACCAACCTCAGACCTCACAGGACCACAGGGCTGCTGAGGGCAAGCAACCACAAACAGGGGGTTTCCTAGAGTGGCAATCTACAAGGCAGTCTCTGCATTCACCATGATAGGACATAAATGGTTTTTACCGAAGGCCATTCACTGTATGATCCCATCTATGTAAAATGTCCAGAATAGGCAAATCCATAGAGACAGAAAGTTGATTAGTAGCAGTAAGTAGTTTGGGGGAGGGCCACTGGGGAGTGACTGTTAATGGGTACAGAGTTTCTTTGGGGGTTGATGAAAATGTTGTGGAATTTTGGCTGGTAACTGCACCACTTTGTGAATATAATGAAAACAGTTGCACGCTTAAAAAAAAAAAGTGGGGGACTGCTGCCCTCGTCTGCTTTGGGACACAGAAGTGCTGGCGGCTGTGCTGGGAGTCCTGGTTCCCACCCTAGATACACGCCCTGCAGTTGCGCTGATCGCCGCTGAGGCAGTCACCCTTCCACCGGCCTGGGGGCCTGGGTCGGTCTCATGGTAGCACTCCTTGCCCTCTGATCTAGCACTTACCACAGAGTTTGTATCTGTCCACAGCCTAGTATTCCCACTAGGTGCATTCTTTGAAGAAAAGGACATGCCTCACATTCCTGGATTCCCAATCCCTAGCCCAGGGCTTGCTGTGCCATGCACGTTCAATAGGTCTTAGCATTCTTGCTCCAACCGGCCCAATGGGCCCAAATCAGTGAGCGCTGGTGATGCTGGTCTTTAAGGAGCAGGTGGATTTTGGCCCCGTGTCAGGACTGCCTTGGTCAGCATATCAGCTCCTGATTTAGGTAGGGTCTCGCTATGGTAGTGTCCAATCCCAACACTCAGAGTCCCTTGGGATTCTCAGACATGTGGCTCCTGCCTCCTCAGAAAAGAAAACCAGCAAGTGCTCCATACTTCCTCCTTGCTGTCCCCATCACATGCCCACCCCACTTTCTGCCATTCTGGACTCACTCTAATGCATCCACTGCTGAGACTAAAGTGCTGGAAGTCTCCAGACACTCCTGGTGCGTGAGATGCTAAGTCGCTTCAGTCATGTTCGACTCTTTGGAACCCCATGGACTGCAGCCTGCCAGGATCCTCTGTCCATGCAATTTTCCAGGCAAGACTACTGGAGTGGGTTGCCATTCTCTTCTCCAGAGAATCTTCCTGATGAGGGGATCAAACCCATGTCTCTTATGTCTCCTGCATTGGCAGGTGGGTTCCTTACCACTAGAACCACCTGGGAAGTCCCAGACACTCCTGGACTTACCTGTAATCAGGTAACTACAAGCTAGAGAAAAGCAACTCCCAAGGACTGGAAAGGGGAGAGGGGTGGTGAGATTTTTGGCAGAAGGCTGGACAAAGTCACAGCTACATGGTTTCAGGAAAAGGATCAACTTCCAGCCCTTGCGCTACCCAAGGCCTCCCCACTGTCTCAGCATCCTGCAGCACCTAAAAGATCAGGGGCTCCGAGGTCCCACTGGGCCTGAGTCCTGCTCACGCTCTCACCTCCCACCTCCAGTGGGCGCTGCTGAGTTAATGGCCTGCACCATGTCAGTGGTGAGGGCATCCAGTAGGCTGGTGATAAATTCCAGTTTCTTCCCTTCTGGACAGCCTGAAAGACAAAGTGAGATCTGAAGGCACGTGCCAGGTAAATGATCAAGTAAAAAGCTTCCTCCACTACCACTGTTTCTTCAACTTCTCCAAGTCCTTCTTGTCCAGCCAAATCCACTTTGGGAATTGTCCACAGCTCAGATGATTCGGTCTCTCTTGTTGCAGGCGGATTTTTTCCCAGTTGAGCCAGGGAAGCCCCAGATGATTCTCATAAACCTCCAGAGTTCCTCTCCCCACAGCCCACAAGGGACCGTCAGACCACATGGACAATAAAGCTTTCGGCGTTCTTCCAATCCACAAATTTTTGCTGAGTATTAACTCAGGCACTATGGTATATGTTAGGAATATACTAGACAGGGCTCTTCTCCTCATAAAGTCCATAGTCTACTGGGAAACTCAAGTGGTACAGTGAGACCAGGCTCCTCCAGAGGCAAGGACCAGCTGCCAAAAGGGCACTAGGAATGCAGAGAAATCCAAGGTCAAATTTGACTCAATGGACCTACCAGTGTATCTATCCAAGAACCTCTTCCTTTTTTTTACATCTCTCCTCAGCCAGCTTAGATTATAATGATCAACCCTCCCTTAGAAGTACTCTTAAATCCTTTGTTTATTCCTCACGGTGGGACTCCCGCAAAACCCCAAGCATGGATGAACCTTCGCACAGATATGCCTTCTCCAAATCCACACCCCCATAGCTGAATGTTGCTGGTATAAACACCACCACACCACTGGAGAGATGGTTTTCCTGTAAATTCATGACTACCAGCCCCAAACAGGCCCTCAACACTACCTACAATTCTCCTCTCTGCAACAACTACTTCATTCTCTTCTCTCTGCAGTTACCCCGGGTGTCTGGTTAAATGCTACTTTCTCAGTGAAGCCACAGATTTCTTCCTGCCCCTCTCCCAGCACCTCACTCTTTCCCTTTAGAGTACCTGTCACCATCTTCATGTGTGTATGTTCATTTATTTGTATACTCTGTCTCCCATACTACACAAGCTTCACTTCCGTTTTGATTACTAGACATACTCAGCGCCTGGCAAACAGCAAAATCTCGATTCACATTTGTTGAAGGAATGGCTAGACAGAGAAACCCTGGTCTCTATGACTCCGTTCTCATGACAGAGTGATTTCTACAAAGCTCACTTGGGAACCCCCGGACTTTCAAGAACCTCTGTTTTCGGTTCTCCTTTGGAGTCCTGATGGGAACAGTGGGAGCTCCCACCAGCACAGACCTGATTAAAACGACCGTGTTTCGAGCCATCAATATTTAGTAATCGTATTGTAACTCACTGGCAGAGAACATGGTAAATAAGAGAGACCCAGCCCAGCAGCCCTTCAGAGGCCCTGGCCCCTGCCTACGCCTCTTGTGCCATACTCCAGGGACAGTTTGGGGCCAGCAGGGGTCATTGCAAAGGCACTCTACAGGGCTGGCAACGGACACTACCATGCCCCGCAGGGCAGCCTGTCCCTGAGAGTTAGTTTCTCTTCGCAGCCCTGGGGAGAAGGGTCCACAGCCCCCAGATCACTGTCCCAATCACCCTGCTGCTGCTGCTGCTAAGTCGCATCAGTCGTGTCCGACTCTGTGCGACCCCACAGACAGCAGCCCACCAGGCTCCTCTGTCCCTGGGATTCTCCAGGCAAGAATACTGGAGTGGGTTGCCATGACTTCCTCCAGGGGATCTTCTCAACCCAGAGGACTGAACCCACATTTTTTAATGTTCTTTACTATGAGCGCCACCTGGGAAGCCCTTTAAGCCAAGGACTACATTTTAAAGACTTTTTATCTTTAAAAGAAGAGCAAGGAGGAGAATCCGTGTGTTCAAGAGTTCAGGACTAATTAGGGACAAATACCAGACTGGATGCCGATCCTGTGGCTCCTGCCATGCCCCTGCCTGCTGTCCGTCCCTGCCCCAGCTTACAGATGAGGAAACAGACCCAGAGGCAGGCACCGCTTCTGCACAATGAGGGGGTGGTGGGACAGGAAAGGGTGAAGATGTCAGCAAGAGGCAGTGTCATCTCCTACCTGGCAGCTCCCTGTCCTTGAAGGGGTCCTCCACCTCCGCACTCTTAGCCCTGGCATCACTCTCACAACTGGGCATCACGTAGCTGAGAAGAGAGAGAGGCAAGGGGGTAAGGAGGGGCTGGAACCTGAGTCAACTTCAGCCCCTACTACCAGCGATGATCTGTGTGATCTCTAAGCCTAGAGCACCCAGAGCTGGTGGCAAAATATCTCCCGCACTGTCCACTAGCTACAGGGCAATCCCAGCATCAGCGTCCCCACAGAGACACGTTCGGGCATGTTGCCACATCGTCTCAGCTACTCAAGTAGAGTAGTATCCCCTTATGTCAGCACACAGGATCTTTTTGACCCATAGAACCTAGCGACTCAGGCAAGGCAATAACCTGCCTGAGTGAACTGAGGTTCAGAGAGATTACCTCCTCTCCCTAAGGCCACCCAGCTAGAAAAGGCCAGTCCTGTGATCAGAACCCAAGATCCAGGTCTTTCTACCAGAACCTCATCTGCCCACGAGCAGAGATGCTGCTCCCCGAGGGTCTCGATTCCCACCCGGCCAGGACAATAAATCTGGGAGATGTGCAGCGCCAGCCTAACAGGAAGCTGGTTCTCCTGCCCCAGGGCCCATCTGAGGGGCAGGACGGGCTCCGGAGGCTTACCGTGTGGAGGTCCCCGGCAGCGGACGCCCGGTGTCCACCAGCACACACCAGCAGTAGCCAGTGGACTGGTGGCACTGCACTGGTTTATAGAGTCCCCCAGGGGCGCACTCGGGGATCACAATGCCCTCGCGGGGGTTCTGCCGGGCCTCTTCCAGGGCACTCTGTCTCTCCTGGTCACACGAGTGAACTTTCTCTGCAAGAAAAGACACAGCCCGTGGTGACTTCACTCCTATGCTTTCCCTGCCAGGACCCGGCCTGGCCCCCAGGAACTGATAATGGCTGAGTGGTGAATCACCAAGGGGAGCCGGGCCCCCCACGCCAGCCCTGAGTGAGGAGCTGGAGGCGCAGAGCACCTCACTCTGACCCTCTCACGGCCAGGCTGCAGTAGCATTCATATCAGTAGGCTCCAGCAGCCGCAAGGCAGCCAGGGAGGCAGGGCGACTCCTCATCAGAGCTGCGGTTGGCCTAGGAGTGGAATCTCCTGACTATTTTCAGAACAGTTCCTGCTCGTGTCTCCTAGCTCCAGCCCTGCGAGCTGACAGATGAGGCAGGAATACCCGTGTATGTGGACATTCTCCCAAACCCAGACCCAGTAGGACAGGGCCACAGACACCATCCTCAGGGTGGGAAGATTGTCTGATGCCCGACCTCCTAGAGGAGCAGAAACAAGACCCAAACCCGCTCCTTCCAGGGCTCCACCCAAGCCGGACAAAGCAGGCTGCATGGAGCTGAGTTGATTACACAACCCTGCTTCCATTACACAACACACCTTCCCACAGGAAGGTGTCTGCACTCAGCGGCCTCAGAAACCATGCCAGCGTGTCTGAACAGCCAAACCTAGTTTTCCCAGAGTCAAGCCCAGCTTGAAGCTCTACATGGTGCCCTGAGCACCTGGGGCTTTAGAACCCCACGGCCCCTGACCAGTCAACCCGCCTGACTTCCCTTTCTTGTTTTTTGTTGATACTATGTGGGTTTTATTGGTTTGCTTTTTAGTTATTAAAAACAAATAGCATTGGGTTTCTTTTCTCATTATAAAGAAATATTTGGAGAATCTCTTATCCCACCAAAGTTAAGTTCTACCTACCCTGGATCTTTTCTTTTGCATGTACACACATGCAAATACATATGCACACACTTATGAGGTTTTTTTTTTAAACAATAAAAGGGACCATATCATAAACTCGTACCACTGTTTTTGATCTACTTATTTCTCTTTTTATTCATTTACTTTATCATCACTTTATTTGTCTCGTGAACAGTATTCCACAACTTTCCTCTTGAAGAATGTGACAGGAATCACCTTTCCACTCTGAGAGCCAGGAATTTGGCATCAGCAATGCGGAGATTCACCCTGCTCACTGAACAAATGGATGAAAATAGCAGAAGCTCAACTCTGATGTAGCCAAAGCCTTTGAAATAATGGCTGTGTTAATGATACACACATGAACCGTACAGATGTCAAAGCAGACTGTAGGTGTGCAGAGATGCAATGCTGTCTTAGCGGAAAGTCAGATGATGGGGAAATGATTTCTAGTCTCCTAAAAAAAAGGCTGAACAATTCTCATTGCAGGGTGAGGGAGTATTTCCGTAAGGGCATAAAAATATCAGAAGGTGTATATATAGCATATTTGCTGTTAAAATATAATTCTGATATGGAAAATGGGAAAAAAAGGAATTACTGTTTTCATAATGCAAACATAGCAAAATTGAACACAATCTCCTTGGCTAGATGAACAGGAGTTTAGAACAGTTGACAGACAATAGACTTATGATTCTAAACCCAGTTACAACTACCACCAGAACTGCCCCTAGAGGCAGCTTAGGGAAGAAACACAAACTGTTGGAGAGAGGGGGCCTTTGGGGAGACCTAGCCTGAAGACCCAGAATTTTGAATCGGGCCCCTGGCTAGGATGGAGCCTGGCACCTTCCAGAGGATTACTCAAGAGTGTTTCAATAGCTCTCCCAACCCCAAGTGGGTAACTTTATTTTCCTACCTCGTATTTCATGCCACAAAAAAAAAAAAAAGTGACAGATGAGCAAAACCAAAAGAAAACAGCTTTTTACTGGCCCCGTGTTCATGTAACAACCTCTGACAGGGACTTTAAATTATAAGATCCTCCAGGCCAACGTTCTAAAGCCATAAATCAGATGGAAGGCGAGATGTGAACAGAGGTGGAGAAAGCTTCCCTGGGGACAGAGCAAATGATGGGCCTGACTTCACACCATCGGGGATCCTGAGACTGCAGGGATGTGGAGAGGAGCCAGCAGAGGAGAGGTGGGAACCCGTAGTCTGGGGGCTGTCGACAGATTTCTGGACTTCCTTGAAGGCTGTTCTGAGATGTTTGCAGCCCGCTTCCATAGAGGCTGCACGGAGTTCCATGGAGAATAAAACCATACAAATGATGACGCGCACTAATTTGGAAAAACTAGGGGGCTAGCAGTGGAATTTGAGAAAAGGCTAAACGCAGGGTTTATTACTTTATTACTTTTTTCTTTGTTTGCTTGCTTGCTTATTACTTTATGATGATCTCTGCAAGTCCAAGTGCTTCTCTAAGAAAGAAGCAGGAAAGGCAATCATAGTACTAACCGTTTGCAAAGAAAACATGGAGAGTTTGTCTTCCAACAGAGAGAAAATCTCCCCTAAAATCCTCTTTATACTAATAATAGTCAAAGCAAATATTCACTGAGAAGGATGTGCCAGGCGGTAGAATAAGGACTTCACTTGCCTAATCTCTTTGTCCCTGTGAAGTAGGTACTGCTATTATGCCCGTTTTATTTTTTAAAAAATATGTATTTATTTATTTATTTAGCTGTGTTGGGTCTTAGTTGTGGCGCATGGGCTGTGATGCATGGGCTTAGTTGCCCTGTGGCATCTTAGTTCCTCGACCAGGGATCTAACCCATGTCCACTACATTGGAAGATGGATTCTCAACCACTGGAACACCAAGGTCCCTTTGCCACTTTATAGACCAGGAGACATTCACAAATTTTCCCAAGTTTACTCAGCCAGGCAAGAGGAGAGCGGGAGCTTGGGTCAAGGGCTCTGACAATCAAGCCTGTCTTGCTGAACTCTAGACAGAGGTTGTTGCCTCTAATCATTTGCTTTTAGGGGAAAGCACATTTATTTTTATGGTGTGAAGATTTTCCAGCCAGTCCATTTGCAGACTGCCATAAACCTACTGCATTCGAAAGTAAATGTGTAAAAACCCATACTTACCCTTTTGACACAGCACTGCTTCTTCTGAACCAACAATTTTTCTCCGCTAGAGCACACTCCGGACTTCATACCCTCATATTTTTCCCTCTTTACCTCTGAACCAGAACACCTAAAGCCAAATTTGTAACTCACTCACCACTGACAGACAGTAACATGAATAATAATAACTAACTGCTCTCAGAGTGTTTACTATGTGCCCAGGTCAGTACTGGGCACTTTTGTTAACTCAAACTCAACACAAGCCTCTATGACAAGCGATACTATTATCCTCGCTGAGCAGACTGGCTGTGTGATTTCTCCAGGATCAATAATGAGGAAGTGGCAGAGCCTGCATTCTAGCCCAAACAGTCTATTCCCAGGCCATGGCCTTCATCTCTCTTAAATATCAGCTCTCACTGCCATAGGCTAATCTGATTTTTATTCTAACATATGTTTTTCTTTTACTTGGTATCACAGACAGTTACAAGATGGTACCAGTGCATTGCACCTCCCTGTATTCATGCCATTGGTGCTGACTCTGTGCTGACTCTGATTTGCTTTGACCAGTGGAAAGGACCGGGGTGACAGTATACAGTTTCCAGACCTAGGCGTGAAGACTCCTTACAATTTCCACTTGCCCTTTCTTGCAGTCCACCCTGAGACCACTCCATAAGGAAGGCAGTCCATCCTCCTGGAGGATGAAAGGCCACATGGAAGAAAACCAAAGGGGTTCAACCCACAGCCAGCACCACCCACCAGGTGTGAGGGTGAGGTCATCCTGGACATCCTAGCCCAGGTGACCCTCCAGTTGGACAAGTCCAGGAGTAAGTGAAGCCACAATCCATCAAGGAACCATCACTAACACTCTAGAAAGAATAAATTATTTTTGCTGTAAGCCTTTACATTTCTGGGTGGTCTGTTACCCAGCACTAGATAACTGAAACACTTAGACTTGCTCAACTCTTTATCAAATTGTGTGTGTGCACGTGCTCAGTCGCTCAGCCATGTCTGACTCTTTGGGACCCCATGGACTATGGCCCGCCAGGCTCCTCTGTCCACAGGAGAAGCAAGAATACTGGAGGGGGCTGCCATGCCTTCCTCCAGGGGATCTTCCTGACCGAAGGGTCAAACCTGAGTCTCTTGCATCTCTTCTACTGGCAGGCAGATTCTCTACCACTGTGCCACCTCAGAATCCCCTTTACCAAATTATCCCATAAGTATTATATACCCCACAAGTATTGCAGCCCTCTTGGACCCTTCAACCAATCAATCAATCAATCAATTATTCCTTTAGTGCTTCTCCAGAGGTCATGCAAACACTGACCAGTACATAATGAGAGGTATAAGCTTATTCTGCATCTGAAGACCCAGAAGACAGCTCCACCCTTAGGGCCATTGCTACCCTCTGCCCTTCTCAGTCACTCCCAAACAAATCTTAAAATTGACAACTGTGAAGAAGTCACCTTCCAGAATGCAAGCCAGGGGACCTACTTCAAGGGTCTGACCACTGGTTCAGAAACGAAGCTTCTCAGAAGTCGACACTCACTGGTCTGAAACATTCAATCTCTGCTCAGGAAGTTCAGGGAAAGATGAGAAGATTAGAAGGTCTGGCCCGATAACTCTGAGAATGGGCTGGGACCATCTGTAAATGCTGGGAAGACATAAACATCGGGGGAGAAGGAACAGGCAGGGCTTGTTCAGGGCGACTCGGGAATACCTAACCACACATTCTTGCACTCAGGCACACTCAGCCCTTCTAATCCCATTCCGAGACAGTGCCGACAACAAGTGAGAGCCGATTCACTCCCCACCTGGCAATGGGTCGTTCCACTCTCACTCACAAACCTCTGGCTGCCTGAGAGAAGAAACACAACAGAGAAGTAGCCCGTGGAAGGAATGAAAATGTGGTCCAACTCTTGCCACCGGCAAGCACACAGCCCTCCCCACCAATCACATAGCAGCGGAGCAAAGCAGCACTGCGCCTGGGTGGGAGTGGG